CTCGTTCAATCTGGAACACTGGTTGAAATTCGGGTATTCTCGTATTTCGTTCGAGCCCATAGCACTATTGCAGTGGATAGTCAAGTGCATGGATATACGCGTCCAATCCTATTTCGACTGGGGTGTGCGTGAAGAAGCTGATGCTTGCCACTATTGGTGTATTTTCTTCACGATGAATTATGTATTAATGCGGTTACAAGATCACGATGACTAATTACGAACAAGCTGTCGTATACTGTTCACAATGAGACTTTCTTTTCAATTAGAAATTTTTTAGTTCAATCGAGAGAATCACAATTTGGGGCACAATAATGTCGCGACACACTCAAGTTAGATTAAAATTCCTCGAATCGGAAGAAGATAATCAGCGTATTATGGATTTCCTCGAACTAGAATGATGTTAATCAACCATGTCAATATGTCGTCTCTGGGATCGATCCAGCCAGACTGTGAAGCCTATGTCGAAAGCTATACGACTAAACTCTCTAACTAAAAGAAACACACAATCAATCTCCTCTTCAGATAATCCTTTGTTTAGGCTTGAGAGAGGCAAGGCGCGAGCCTTAACAAAGGAAAAGTATAGGAGAGAAATTTCTCCCGTATAACAATCCCTTTATAAATCTCGACAAATGCTGGCGAACAGTATTATTATTATTACTATTAGTATCTTTATCGGGGAATAAACGTAGGGACGTTTCAACGGCGTATGATCCCTCGAATTACAAAAAAGGGGGTGCAGGGGGATTGTAATAACTGGAAACGCGGATAATATTCGGGGAACGGTAGAATCCTGATTTGATTCCATCCCGAAATCGAATCGAGCTAATTTCATCCCCCTGCAACAGCGTACAATGGAGGAAAGTTGCGAAGTGGGCATGATCGCGTGTCGATAGATTAATTTTCATAACTGTGATTATTGGACGGGTTTCGAGCGGGCGACGATGTGTTCGTGCCACGAGCCGGCTGCTCGCATCGCGTGGGCCGAGATATTGCTGTTATCTGGCCCGATTAATTGGTTGGAAGTCGACTTTACTTTACGTCGAATTTCATACGAGTTTCATATGTAAATTGCACGAGGGAAGATCCGTGATTTTATGTCGGTAAATTTTCTTCGCGTTACGAAACAAAGTACGATTTGGGTTATAGTTTCAAACTGGTGGAATTTTTTGTGACAGATATTTGAGACGATAATAAATGGATAAAGCTTCGAAGAAAACGCTTCGAAATTGGAATATGAGTACGTTCGAACAGGCATTTTACACTTTCGAGGAGAAGACGAAAGACGAAAGTTGGAATTGCGAGTTATCTGGCGTTTGTTTTAAACCGATCTCCCTCGTTATTAGATTAGAAAGCCATTGGTGGATTAATCTGTTTTTCACCAGGTCAAAACGCGATTGGAAAACTGGCCGTTTTTCGCGAGTGCGAGTACGAGGATCCATCCACGGTTGTCCTGGATAAAGTATGTACTCGGAAAAATCGAATTTAAACGACTCTGGGCTGGGAAACGCGAGCGGAAACGAGATTCGAAGTGCACGCTTTCAAAGATAGCGTACACGTCGGGAGACACTCTTTGGATCGCGACCCGGATATCCGTTTTACCACCGGAGGGCAGGAACTTTCCTTCGAGATCGAATTCGTATTCGTATTATCTCGACACCTTCGTCTATCGACGAGCTCGTCTATCGCGAAAAATTCATGCACTCGACTCGAATCGAGCAAATAAATCTCTCTCTCTCGTTTCTTCTTCTCGATCGAAAACTAAACACGTGGATTTCATCCATGTGAATTATTCTCGAAAAAGAAAAAATTCTATTCTGGAAAAATTCGGCGAAAAAGGTTTAACAGACCGGTTTTGTACTCTTTTCGACCATCGATTCTCCTCCCCTTTTTCGAGGGTTACGACGATTCACGAAACGAAGTCACGGCTACGGCCCTCTCGACGCCATTGGGGTTTACGGTTACGGTTAAGTACAGAGCGAGGAGATCGTATCGTTTTCCGAACGATTTGGCTAATCGAGCGGCGGCCGCGATGGCAGAGAGGGGACCGCGGCCGCAGCTATGCGCATCCGCTCCACAGCTGCGGGAATTTAAACAAGAATCGGGCTTAGAATCCACCCCACCGAGGAAACGTTCAACCTTTTTGCCCTCCTAACGGCCACCGTCCTTTTAATTTGTCACGCTGTTAAGAGTTAATTTCAGTCTCGTCCCGAGTAGACGAGATTGAAATTGCTAATTTCTACGAAGGCCCGTGCTGGCCTTCGTCCTTGTATCGAGCGACGTGTTTATTCGATCCTTTTTTTTATTCCTCTTCTCCTCTTTTCTTCCTTTTTTTTTTTTTAATTCGGATATGGAAAAATGAGAAGAGAGAGGAGGAGCATCGCCACGAAGATCGTTTCTTTTTTTCTTTTCTTTTCTTTTCTTTTCTTTTTTTTTTTTAAGAGCGAAGAATTAATTATTCTTAAAGGTGAAAGAGGGGAGGGGAAACTTTCAACGGTATCCGACCGCTGGAAATTAGCTGCGAGAATTAACACCGAGTTCCCCCTTGGTGGGTGAAATTTTTTTTGAGGAAGCGTGTTCTGAGAATTACCTGAGAGGAGGGCTCGTAGAAAGTAACGATCGGCCCGAAATTAACCTTAAAACCGGCGTTATGCGCTCGTCCCGTATTTTTCCGAGGGAATCACTCCGGATTTTAATATCCGCCCCTTTTTTTTACCCCGAAACATTTTTCGAACGGTCGAAAAATTCTCTTCCAAAAATTACCGCCGATTCTCGCGTCCAACCGCGATTGGGAAAAAAACCACCCTCTTTTCTCCTCCCGATTCGCGAACATCGAGAACGAGGAGACCAGCTGATAATCGAGCTCTGGAACACGTTTCGAGGCCAGAAAATCCGCGATTGCTCGGTCAGACGAGGGAAGGGGGGACCGAGTTTACTGGCGTTTATCCAACCGGTGGCCACATTTCGTAGTGATCGGTCGCTATAATAAATGGAAACTGCGGAGCGCGTGGCGGCGATTGCTTCCAATCGAGTGGCTAATCATCGGAAACCAATGTAGAGAGAGAGAGAGACGACTTTGTACACAACACGTGCACGAAGGGGGTGTGCACGAGACGAGGAGCAAAGGATGCATTTTTCGTCGCTCAAGTTCGAGCGATCTCTATCTATCTCTGTCCGTCTATCTATCTCTCTATATCCAGGAGACGATAAGCCGCTCGAAGTCGCTGGGAACGCTCGAAACGCAATTACCGCGAGAGTTCGTCGGGCGTTCCACTTTCGATCGACGTCGAAAACGAATCGTCGATCACGATAGACAGGCCCCCCCCCCCAGGAAACGGTTTGGAAAAAAAAAGAAGGAAAAAAAATACGAGGGACAAAGAGCGGTGGAGACGCACGTCGGCGTGCAATTAATGTAACGCGAAATTGAATTTTCGCAGGGGTGGAAAATCAAGCGAAAGGGGACGCGAACGTGAAAGAATATTCGGTGTTTATGGGAGCAAATGTTGGAAACTATATCCACGGATCGAAAATTCGTCCTTCTTCGCGATTAAATTAACGACGATAGAAGGTGAATGACCAGTTGATCGCGGGTGTCGGACGACCTGCTAGAAATGACCTGATGGTGACATATCTTATCTAACAATTGCAGTGGCGTCGCGTATTCTCCTCGCGTGAAAATTCGTTGCAGGGGAATTTGAGCCGTTTTTAATAATAGAGAAGATAGTGCATTCACTGTATATATCCGATTCAAAATGTATAGTTTCGAAATCTGTAGTGCGCGCTTCTATGATTCGAAAGAGTATTAAGAAATACGCAGTCGAGGCGCGAAAAGTAAGTTTAAATAAATGAAAAATTCGTCTTCTCACGATTAAATTCGTTGCAGAGGAATTTGAGCCATTTTTAGTAGGGGATAGTGCATTCACTGTATATCTGTTGAGATTGAAATAGGTTTGGAATCTGTACTGCACACTTTCACGATTCGAAAGAAATGTTAAGCAGTCGAGGCGCGAAAAGTTAGAGGAAAAATTAAATTAATAACGATCACAAGAGGAGAACGCGTCTCTGTCATCTAACAATCGCAATGTCATCACGTATTCTCCCCCTGTGAAAATTCGAAAAGAATTTTTAACCACTTTTAGAGGGGATACTGTATATCCGTTTGAGATTCAAAATTTATTTATAACTCGCCGTATGGAATCTGTGGAACCAGGCACGGCTTCTACGAATTCGAATTGAAAAGAGTGTCGAGAAAGGCGCGCTCGAGGCGCAAAGAGAAGCAAGTCTAAATAGACGAGGAATAAAGGAGGTGAAAAAGATATTTGACGAAATTCCTTGGCTGGCAAAGAAAAAAAACTAAGCGCCAAGTTTTTAAACCTCGGCTGACAAGTTTGTTTAGGGCAGGTATGCCTGGTCTCGAGTATGCGCGCGCAATATGTTCGGTTCATAACGCATTCCTTCGGCTCGTCATACGATACGCGTTTCCTTCCTCCCCGAGGTCGGAGCACCAGCGGTACTGTAACACCGTCGAAATAAAATTCTGCCCGCGCCACTGTTCCAATATTATGCGGGAAATATTTCAAACGAACCCCCGCGATCACAATGGCAAAGTGGGGAGGAGGGGGATTTGTGGCGCGAGGCCCTGGCGTGTGCCTCATCACCGCATTTATTATTCAACCGTCTGAAACGGCAATAATGTCGGTCGGTCGGTGGTATTTAATTTTCGTGCTGTTGAATCATGGCACGGAAGTATATCAAAATGTATCTCTTATTCGTTCATTCGTTGGGAAAATAAAAGATAAGAGAAATGAGGGGGAGAAGAAAAAAAGGGGGAGGAGAGAGAGAGAGAGGAAACGGAAGCGCAGTTAAAATCGAAGAATTTTAACGCGGGATAGGCCTACGGCTTCTCCTTATTCCTTCGACGATCCATCTATCCCGACCCAGAAAGGGAGCCGACACAGAGAGGCTCTCGTTTATTTCCTGACAGTCATTTCCTCTCCTTTCAGGAGGGAATCGGCTCCCTGAAGGTGGTGCCCGGAGGGATCGAGCTCAGAGGTCAGGCCGCCGTCCTGGATGCCCTGGTGGCCTCCAGCCTCAGATCCAGACGGGGAAAGAATCTGGTTCTCGAGTCGTGGAACAACTTCACGGCGTCGGCCAGGTCGCACGATGGCCGATTGCTCGCCCGATTCACAGTTGGTAAGAATTGCGAACATGTGATGTGATATCGATCAAAATGGATCGATTTTTTTCTTTTTTTCTTTTTGCGGTTAAAAAATAATGAATGGAGGATAATATTGGAACGAATTCTCGATACATAACGACATATTCGATTTTCGAGATCGTTCTTTCGTCGTGTTTCGCGCGATCGACAATTGTTACAGCTCTCCAATCGAATCTAGGGAGGGGAGGACGAGTTTAAAATTGTGGTCGAAGTTAATTCGAATCGCGAAATGTTTGTAGTTCACGGTTGGTATTTAATCTAAAAGGTGTAGAAAAGTTTGGGTGGTGAAATTGTAGGTTTTTCGAGGTTCGAAATACTGGAGAAAAAAAAAAAGAGCTGGAAAGCATCAGTAGCTCTGTAGAGAGATGAAAAAAAATCCTATGAAAAAAAAAAACGGAATTTACACGGGTTTGCGAAAGACTTTACAGGATCGCGAAGTAATTCTCTCTCGAAATCCCTTCCCTTTCAAGATGAACGAATATTTCTTTTTATCTCTCACTTTTTTCCCACCTAATTTTTTTTTTTTTTTCCTTTTAATGTCACCGATTATTTCCCTGGTGGAAAACAAAAGGACAGATATCGATGGCATACAACATAGGGGTGAGATACGCGTCGTTAATGGAGATGAACGTTTCACTCACGTCACGGTTTGTAGCTTTGAAGCTAAATCACGCGACAATCGTCGAAGGTTCCGCTGTATTAACGTCGACGGCGATTTCGAAAAATAATCTCGAAACAAAAGTCGTTCAATTTCCCCTTGAAGAGGAAATGCGCAAAATAACGCGTCTTCTGAAACTGTTTTAAACGAAAAAAGAAAAGAAAAGAAAAGAAGAAGAAGAAGAAGAAAAGAATTCTTACGCGTACAATATATTCACCCCCTCGACGCAAATATTCAAATAAATGCTACTCGTGTGTATACACGCGCAACGACACGGAATTAATTTCCTCGTTCTTCGCGGCGATTTAAAGCGCGTCGATTCGAGGCACGTACAATAAATAAGCAAACGGAAGATTCGTTCCGCGTTACGAATAAGTAGCGACAAAACTTGAAACTCTCCATTACGTCTCGTTGCAGAGACGGGAAAAAAACGTGATTTCCAATTCCACGAGATTTAACGAACTTCCTTCCCTCCATCCAAAGATATTTTCTTTCTTCTTCCTCCCCTCCTCCTCTTCTTGGCGCCCGTTTACTCATTCCTCGAGACGGAAAATGGAGTGTCTTTTGTCCACTTTACAGGCGAGGATCGCGTGGACTGCGTGTCGAGAGGCTTCCGGATAACCGACCCTCGAGGAGGAATTCTCTTCTCGGCGGACAGGGAGCAGGTGGTGGTCGGGGCGGAGATGTTGAGGGTGACCGGCGACGGGGGTGCCGTTTTTCAGGGCAGCGTTCAAACGCCTCTGGTCAGAGGGGAATCTGGCCGTGGTCTCAGGTAATCGCGAGAAGAAAGGGAGGGAAAAAAAAATAAAATCGGATATATCTCGCCACGAGTATAACAAGAGCAGAGATTTAAAAATCGTGAGAAAGATTCCTCTTTTCCAAGCTTTCCATCTCTTGGTTTTGAAAGTAAATTTCCTTGTATAAAATGATTCTCTCTAATACCGAAAATTAACAATTATTTAAAGTATTATAAAAAAGAAGGAAAAATCAATTTGACGCGAAGGAAGATATAGATCTATCTATCCAAAGATCTATGAAAATATAAACAATTTTTCTTTTAAATGTCTAATTCGATCATCGTCGAAGAAATTACTCGAAGATGTTACTTAAATAATGGAATAATTTAACGCGAGGATATGAGTCACCGCCTTTCGCGCGTCCCACATTTATTTCAGAAGTTTCTAAAAGTGACTTCGACCCAGTTCAACCATCCGAGCGCTGAATTTTCCATCAGCTTTCTCCATCCATCCCCGATAATCATCCCCGATACAGGGCGTCGATATAAATAGCGTTTCGATATTCCAATCAACTTTCCTTGTAGCCCCGTGGCCGGCTATAAATAATCGAGTCGGATACCGACTGCGACCGACACTCGCGTGGGATTAAACTTCGCGGTAACACGGTTAAATATATAGCGCCGGTCGAACGAAAGGGAGGCGGGCTGTGAAATCGTGTAATTGATGGGAATGCTGGTTGACAAAAGGCCCGTAAACCGTTCTTATTCGCGACGCGATTAAGCTTGTCGATCCAATAAGAACTAAATTCGTGTCCCGGACGCAAAAACTATTTCCCTCGAATCGAACGATGCTCGTCGTTTCCATTCTAAAATTTAAACAAGGAAACGCGTATATATATATATATATATAAGGAGAACTTCGATCGATTTAACAACGGAGAGACGTTTCCTACGAATCTTCGAGGATCCTTCGAATTTTTACATCACCAATCACGAGCACTCCTCAAGCCTGCATCGTCATATTCGAAACATTCGATTCCTCTTTCCGAGGAGGAAACGGCAGTTCGTTGCCAGTTATATTGGCAAGAATATGGCGTATTAAGATAGTTTAGGGAGGGATCGAGGCGGATCGTGGCGCGCTGGTTATTGATAGTGTCGGCCAATTTACAGACGGATTTACGATTACAATAAAACTTTGCTCGCGCGGAAAATTATATTCATAGGATTGGATTTATGCCAGATATGAAATACCGGAGGATCCGAAACGGGGTGGAGGCTGCAAGCAATAGGTCGACGACGATGATAGGGGGTTTGAATGGAGGATGGAAGGGAGAGGGGTATTGGAGAGGACGGTGCTTTACCACTTTCTTAGAAAAGAAGGATCGATTATTGCAAACCTGACGTTGCAAGTCGACCAGTTGCCGTATTATTCCGTCGCGCGATATTGCGAATTTTCGATCGTATTTATCCCTTGCGAGATTCTGCCCGCTTCTTCTTCGTTATTATTAACTTGTCTTCCTTTGCGTTTCTGGATAGTTGGAAAATGAATGAAATTCGAGAGGGAATTTTTTATTTAAGGAAATTGGTTAACTGGGATTGAATCCCCAGTGGATTGCATTTCTCGTCGTTTTCTTTTTTTTTTTTTTAAATATTCAAAGAGATCAATATCGATGAGATACAGTCGGTCGCAAAAGTATTTATTCCCCTCTTTTTTAGAAAAGGAAGCTTAGAGGTATTTTGAAAAATGTGATTTTGATGAAATTTTGCGTGTAGCGTAGAGAGCGTGTAACGGGTTATGCATATAGAGCAATTTATTTTTCGATGGAAAATTACTTTGAGCGCGTGAAATCAATTTCCAAAATTTCATCGTCATTTTTTGTTTTTTTCTCTTTTTTTCTTTCATATTTCCCGCACAACTTCGCGATGGAAATATTTTTCATAACGGGGGATGGATTAATTGAAACTTAATTATTTCATAGTCGATTAAAATTTCGTTCTATCTCGTACGATCGGAAATTTAAAAAAAAAACAAATGCTTTAAGGCATTGATTTCATCCTCTCGAAATTACATATTCTAACGAAAAATACATATATATATATATATATATATATATATAAAACTCGTAGAATTATTACTAACTCCGATAACACGATTTATTAATCGAACTTCGTTTGATACCGACTCGATGGAAGCTCGTTTTCCATAAAAATTCATCTCACGTGCGCGAATAATTGTTTCCACAGGCTGGAATCAGCGACCAGATCCCTGAAGATCAGCGCGCCCCAACAAGTGGCGATCGAGTCCTGGGCGAACGAGATCTCGGCCACCTGTCTAACGGATCTGAAACTCGAAAGCGTGCACGGAGCGATCAAGTTGGAGGCGAAGACTCTGTTCATGAAAGGGTTGAAGACGGCCAGCCCGACGAACCAAGGCCACTCGTCCAGGGAGCAACAGCCTCAGCAGCAGCAGCATTCCCCGAGAACAGGGTCCTCCCCTCACCAGAGTCAAAGAGACACGACCATTTATCAGTTGTGTGCCTGTGCTAACGGGAAACTGTTCCTCGCCAGATCCGAGGGGACGTGCCAAGCGGACAAATCGATTTGCTAATACCTAGAACCACGAGATCCACTACTGCCACTATTGCTACTACCACTATTACTACCACGCCTCGAAAAATGGACGATAGAGGATGCACTTGGCGACTCGTGGAATCGAAATTTGCCGAGAATTTGCAGAGGATCGACGGCAGATGTCCAGCTCGAGATCTTCCCGCTTCTTCGCGCTGGTGGTTTTGCGAAATTTTAGAAATTTGGCGCGTGGACGCTTGCGTTTTAGAACGTTGTCGTTCCGCTGTTCTTAGTCATCCCGCTACGGATGGACGAAGCGTTGCACGCCTCGCGAGGAGGCAAGGTTATAATAAAGAGAAGCCGATTCGAATTCGAACCGATCGAATGTATAATACCTTGTATATTAAAATACGAAACTGATTATCAGATAGGTGATGAGCGGCTGGTAATCGAATCTCGTCATCTCGTTCCTGTCTCTGCCCCTGTCGAGTCGTTTCCCTCCCCCGCCAAGTCTCTCCTGCTGGTTTCTTTGCGCAAACGTTCGCGTGGCCAGTCGATAGGCAACGATTTGCAGTTCCTTTTTTCAGCCCGGTGGATGAGAGGGAGAAATAGAAATGGAGTGAGAGAGAAAGGGAGAAGGATGGTGCTTTTGCGTGGAAGAGGATGTGTCCCGCCGCGATTAACATTATGCAATAGTTCATAATAGGATGCGCGATAGAAGATCCGTGTGCGTGCGTGCGTGTGTTTTTCGCCCGATTCTGGATCTATGATTTATAGAGAGAGAGAGAGAGAGAGAGAGAGACACGTCGCGCGATTAGAGGAACGTTTTATTTTGGAGCGCGTTTTAAAATGGGAGGCGCAAGTGTAGTTCACTGTAAAAGGATCCGGTTGCGTGATCCAGCTTGCACACGCTGTACATCGGCCATGTCCATCTATTTATGTATGTGGCAATAAAGTCGTTATTGTTACTATTATTATTAAATACGGTGGTGTAATCATTCCTCCTCGTGATCCATTCCCCCTCGTCACATTTTTCAGAGAAGAGAGGGTATATAAAATCCCTCGTCGCTGCTTAAACCAAACGTATCGGCAAAGTCTCGAGGTCGAAAGGTTTATTAAATGAAATTATTCCTCCGATCTTATTAAGAAACTACTATTCTATCGAAGAATCCCTCTAACCTGTTCAAGAAGCTGTTCAGCATCGGGAGACTGGATATTTTACAATATCGATCGAGAGGGGCTGTTGTATAGGGCGATAAAACGATAACGGAGGGGAAATTAGGCGAAACGAAAATAGTTTTCAAGAAAGGCCGATCTCGCTACATAATATAGTATATGTCAAGCCGGCTGACAGGTAGCAAGGGCAATCTCACCTAGTAGCCCCTTAAACGGCTCTGACGGCAAGGTAATTTTCTCGGAATTCGAGATTAAAATTGCATCCAGCCTGGAAGGGAACAAAGTACGCCCTCCCCGTACGTCCCGACCACTCTTGCCCTGGCTTCAGGAGGGGGTAACGATGGCGAGGAGGATGGAGCAATCTGACAAGGGAAGGAGGGTAAGGAGAGAGAGAGAGAGAGAGCGTAAGCGGTGTGAATTAGCAGCAGTCGGGTAAAAAAAATACTGGGCGGATGAAAAATGCCTCTTAGATCCCCTTGTATTACCCTAAGAAGAGCAGGATCTGGGGAACACTCCGAGGGGAACGAGGTGAAAATGTTACGGTAAATTTTCTTAGACCCCCTCTTCCTTGTATCGTTTGTAAAAAAAATTTAACAAGGATTCCTTCTCAAGCTTTCGTGGGAATGTTTTCATTCG